CTTTTCATGAATAGGTATGTCATTGACGGTGCCACTGCTCTTTGGTGTGCAGCAGGAGCAGGTCATTTTGAAGTGGTTAAGCTTCTCGTCAGTCATGGAGCCAACGTGAACCACACCACAGTCACTAACTCGACCCCGCTGCGGGCAGCATGCTTCGATGGCAGATTGGACATTGTGAAATACTTGGTTGAAAATAACGCCAACATCAGCATTGCCAACAAGTATGACAACACCTGCCTAATGATTGCAGCATATAAGGGCCACACTGACGTGGTCAGATACCTTTTAGAGCAACGTGCCGATCCCAACGCTAAAGCACATTGTGGAGCCACAGCATTGCACTTTGCAGCTGAAGCCGGGCACATAGATATCGTGAAAGAGCTGATAAAATGGCGCGCCGCCATAGTAGTGAACGGCCACGGGATGACACCGTTAAAAGTAGCTGCTGAAAGCTGCAAAGCTGATGTTGTCGAGCTGCTGCTCTCTCACGCTGATTGTGACCGAAGAAGTCGGATTGAAGCTTTGGAGCTCTTGGGTGCCTCTTTTGCAAATGACCGTGAGAACTATGACATCGTGAAGACTTACCACTATTTATACTTAGCCATGTTGGAGAGGTTTCAGGATGGTGATAACATTCTTGAGAAAGAGGTTCTCCCACCAATCCACGCTTATGGGAATAGGACTGAGTGTAGAAATCCTCAGGAACTGGAATCCATTCGGCAAGACAGAGATGCTCTTCACATGGAAGGCCTTATAGTTCGGGAACGGATTTTAGGTGCCGACAACATTGATGTTTCCCATCCCATCATTTACCGGGGAGCTGTGTATGCGGATAACATGGAGTTTGAACAGTGTATCAAGTTGTGGCTTCATGCCCTGCACCTCAGACAGAAAGGTAACAGGAATACCCATAAGGATCTTCTTCGATTTGCCCAAGTTTTTTCACAGATGATACATTTGAATGAAACTGTGAAGGCCCCAGATATAGAATGTGTTTTGAGATGCAGTGTTTTGGAAATAGAACAAAGTATGAACAGAGTAAAAAATATTCCAGATGCTGACGTCCACAATGCTATGGACAATTATGAATGTAATCTCTACACCTTTCTGTATTTAGTGTGCATCTCCACCAAAACACAGTGCAGCGAGGAAGACCAGTGCAAAATTAACAAGCAGATCTACAACCTAATCCACCTTGATCCTAGAACTCGGGAGGGTTTCACCTTGCTGCACCTTGCTGTCAACTCCAATACCCCAGTCGATGATTTCCACACCAACGACGTCTGCAGCTTTCCCAACGCGCTTGTCACGAAGCTCCTGCTGGACTGTGGTGCGGAGGTGAATGCTGTGGACAATGAAGGCAACAGCGCCCTTCACATTATCGTTCAGTACAACAGGCCCATCAGCGATTTTTTGACCTTGCACTCTATCATCATTAGCCTAGTGGAAGCTGGCGCTCACACCGACATGACAAATAAACAGAATAAGACTCCGCTAGACAAAAGTACAACTGGGGTCTCAGAAATACTACTTAAAACTCAAATGAAGATGAGTCTCAAGTGCCTGGCTGCCCGGGCAGTTCGGGCTAATGACATTAACTATCAAGACCAGATCCCCAGAACTCTTGAAGAGTTTGTTGGATTTCATTAAGTGACTGGATATGTAAAATCGTTTAATGTGGTGCTAAAAAGTAAAGGACTTTAATCACAGACAACAGAATTACGTGTTCATAAATTCTGCTTTTCTTTCCACCACCCTCCCTCCCTCCCTGTCCTTCCTTAGTTCTGTATTTGGCCTTCTTGCCTCATATGGTGATTGATGTCAAATACACTTTAAACAAAGCCACATTGTTTAGGTGTAACTATAATCTAAGGTGTTTGGATATTGGTCACTTACCTATTTTCCCTTCTTTCTTTTTTTAAGGAGCATAACATTTTATGTGGCAAGGGACATTTGTGATTGGAAATTGATAATGTTTAACAAAAAACAGACTACAAAGGTATTTCTGTTGGTCCCGTGTCAGCCTGTTATCCTTGCAGCAGTTCTGTGGATTCCATGAAGAAAAACAACTAAAAGGAACATTAGAAGTAATGGAATTTCCAAATGTTCTGCACATGCCAAACTGCTATAGGTAGTTTTCACTCTTCCATTATTTATGTGAAGTGATATAACACATTATACCATCAGGAGGATTTTAAAAAATATAGCTGCAGATTAATCTGAAAAATGTGCTAATAATAGTTACTAATTTATAAAGTTAAATCCATTGAAATTGTTGAATTATGCTGGGTGGTACACACAAAGTTTAGTAATTTTAAAGCAACTTTTCAGAGAATATTGATGGACTGTTTGCCTTTAGGCTTGGATTCTAAAATTTGTCTCTGTATTAATGTAATCTAAATTGCAGCAGTCTGCATCTAACTCAACTCATAGACATGTAAACAGAATGAATGCTGTGTTTTCTGATGAAACAAGTTGTCGTAATATAGTTACATGTTTTATTTCTTGTCCCCTTGTCCCTTTCCTCCTGTGTGGTATCTTTTAAAATTGGAAACTACTTTTCCAAGGGCATTATTTGTGCCTCCCTAAGAAGGTGTTTATGACAGGTGAGAAGGAGCCAGGATATTTTTAATTTTTTCCCTTTATTTAGTCTGTGATAAGAAGTAGAAAAATCAATAGTGTGGTATAAGGAATACAATGTTTTTGATGATGAAAATAATTCACAATGCCATTTTGAAAGATATTTCTGTCTGAGAGCAGCAGATTTTGAACCACAATGTCGCTTACTCTGACAGGCTGTACAGAAGTTTTGTTTCTTTGTTTTATTTTCATGGCAACATTTTTACTGTCAGACTAAGGTAATATTCTGTGATTATCCTTTAAGCATCACAGAAATTCAAAAAGGGTACACACTTAACTTCTATTGATGTTAAAAGTGATAAAGAAAGTAAAATTAGGTATATCTGTATTTTTCTCTCTAGTGCCAAATGAATGCCTTAGCTACCCATAGTGCATGGACTGTAAGTGAAGACCTGTGTCTTTTTTCTTTAATGAAAAGCATTATAATGATGTAGCAACATCAGCTATAAACAAACAAAAGAAAAACTTGTAAAGTTTCAGTTAACATTTTATGTATGGTTATTGCTTTGTAAAGTGTAAGAAGAAGGTTGCAGTTGGATCAATATAAAATGTAATGACCAAACCAAAATCAGCACCTAGGGCCTTAAATAGAGATACCCCACGAAGTGGAATACTTTGAAGGATGGGAGGGGACGGCTGGGGGGACTTTGAAACCCTTCCCCCCCCAGAATGCAGGATACTTACACTGCTGCTGTAGTTACGCTTCACGTGTGTTCTTGCTTCAGTCAGTAATGTTTTGATGGTAAATTCTGTCATGGTAATATGCTTCTGTTTTCCTAATCTGAGGTTTGTACAAGGAAGGCTTTTAGGAAGGTTTAAAGGCAAGTATTTGAATGAGCCCTAATTTAAAAATGGCTGGCCGTGATCCTCCTGGTGTGAGTCGGGGGACTACTGTACCGTGCTCTTGGCAACCCTCGGGGCCTGAAAGAGGAAGTGCACATCCTCCAGGTGAGTGAATCA